CCTAATTTCATCAAATTCCCATTGTCAAAACATTGGACGACTCTTCTTTTTTTCATTATCAATTTTTACCCTTTTGGATTAATTCCATACACTCTCTAAATTATAATTTTTTTTCCATATATTTGTTTCAGGGTGTAACGTGCTAGCTTCTTATAATTCAGGAAGGTTTTAAACAATTAACCTTAAGAAAGTTTTATTAATTTAAAAACACATTTAACGACCACATAACAATAGTTAAGAGGATTGATGATGTTATTTGAAAACTTTAATGGTCTAAAGGAGTAAATGTTATTTCAGAAGGGTAATGTGCAAATTTTTACAGTTTAGAGGAGGTTTATGCAATTAATGTCAGGTTTAATTTTCTTAAGAAATATCAAATGTAGTCTTTCAAAATGTGTAAACAAATTATGTTTAATTTTTTATAGTTTAGGGGGTTTTGTGGAATTAAAATTAGGCAAATGTTGTTTTTATTTCAATACTTGAAGAGAGAATTTATTTCAGTAGGCTAACATACAAATTTGTAGAGTTCAAGGAAAGTTTTTGCAATTAACCTTAGGTAGATTTTGTGAAGGAAAAAAAAATGTCAATAATATCTTTAAAAATATGTAAAAAAGTGTTTTATATAGTTTAAGAGAGTTTGTCCTATTAACCTTAACATATAATCAAAAGATTCTTAATTTTCTTTTGTTACGTTATTTAAAGTAGATGTTTCAAAATAAACTCACTTTATAATTTTATACTTCCGTTTTTGAGAATATGATGAATGTAAGAATTACTTATTAGTACAATGTATTTTTTCTTGATTTTGCAACAAGCTTTTGTATTGACCACGGTCTCTTAGACAATTATTAGAAATTTTCTCTAAGTATAAGAATATTGTAGAATATGACCATAATTTAAAAATCATTGTGTTATTCTTTTTTTAGAAAATTCTAAGTGGATGGGTGGGCTACATGAATTTTTATTTTTTATTCTTTTCTATTATGTATCACATATTCTCTTAGATTATTTTTTTTTTTTTTTTTTTTTTTTTTAAGATTGTTCATTATTACTTCATCCCATGTGAGTTCAGTAATAATGAACAATCTTTATATTAACTTCACAAATAATATTCCTCCTCTTATCATTGTACTGTTGGATCTACGTTAAAATATGACTGTACCTCCTAAAGTTTTCATTCATGACCGTATCTTTTCTAGTTACTGTGTTTGTACTAAAGGTGGTGATGGAAGGATTTTTATAATTTCTCACTTTTCAATGTAAAGAAATTTAAAAATAGAGAGTTTTAATTTGTACCGTGGGATTTACATTTCATGAGATGCTTTTGTGTGAATTATTTTCAAATTACTGAACTTAGAAAAAGGAAACTTTATGAACTTGAGATTTCTATAAACTTCCATTGGTGGTGATATGTTGTTAATGCCTGAAGTCTTGACAATGAAAATGATAACTATCTACAATGAAAAATGAGCGAAAATAACATCATCATAGCATTATAATTATATCAATTATCGTGAACATTGATGGCATCATCTCTCACATGAATGCAATCGGATGCGTCCTGTCATTCTCTACCAACATTGTTGGGACAAGGTTCTCTATCACTGGAAGTTTTTTTCCAAGCTTTGCGGCGCGCTTTCTGGCTTTTGTTCTCCCCTTAGTCTCCATGAACTCCCATGGACCTCCTATTTGAAGTGGATCGCAAGAATCGAAAGTAATCTTCTCAAGCATGACAACACTCTTGATTAAATACATTGCAAGCTCAACTTCATTTGTACACCCAGCCTACCCAATGAATTCCACCACCTTAAGGCACTGATGGGGCCGAGATGTAAACTTTTCATGTTTTCTTCTCCGCCCGGGCTCCATCCAATGCAGCTGTAACAAGAATGAATGGAGTCATACGGTGCTTTATACATTTAAGTAGACCATTAGCACACAAAACCACATTATCAAGCATCAAATCAATAATTAAAAATTATATTTGTTGCGACACTTGTGGGGTTATCACAACAAATAGCAGGGCTATCATAATTGTTCAGGGCAAGTTAGAATCATCTTTGTTTGTTTTAGTCTTTAATTGCCTGCTGCTTTTAATTTATTGAAGGATCTCTGTTCCTTTTCCAACTGCATTCTCAAATTCTCCCCTTTTCACAACATTGTTCTACTAATTATAAATCTGTCTCATTTTATAGTATCTCAGTAGCTAATGAAACTATTTTTGTCAAATTAAACTCTCTCAGTCCCTGGGCAATTGCACCAAAAACTCGAGTTCCTTTTGGATTTCCTTCTTGATCAATGACAACTGCTGCATAGAAAAAAAAAAAAAAAAAAAAAAAAAAAAATTGTTGGAAAATTAATCTAGACTTGTCTAGATTCATCTATGAAGACCAAGTGATACTTGGAAAGGTGCAAAGAATCTCATAATAATTGCTAGTACATGGAACATTTTGGTTTATAAGAAATATTTTGGTTCATTGTATGTATTAAATTCATATACTAGAAGTATCTATTGAGTAATATAAATAGGTGAGTCATGTAAGTTGTATGAGATACACAACAATTGAGCAATACAAGACAAATAATTCATTTCTATAGAAGTGAGTGTTTCTGAATTGTGTATTTACTAATTCAGTCGAATATATGTGAGTGTATCCCATTTGTGTTCACTTGCCCACCACCTCCAACAAAAAATACCAAAGTTGCATTGCAATGGAAAGTGTACCTTAACATCTAACACCACAAACAGAGACACCCCCAATCCAAAAAAAATAGGACACAGACATAACGGGAACATGACAAATCATAAATATTATATATATAAAATGTTGTACTTTACGAAATTAGTTATAATATTATTTACCAATTTAATGACAAGAAGTTACATGCCAATATTGGCATGTTTGGGGTGATGAAAGAAATAACTGATTTGCCCTTCTAAGATAGACATTTTAATTTTTTTTTGCTTTTAAAAAAGAATTGAAATATTCATGGTAACCATTTAGCCAACAAAATCAGTTAAAAAAAATGTGTTTTGCCTCAAAAAATAAAGAATGATAGAAAGAGAAACAAGCAAAGAGGATTAGGGTTTTGTTGGAAAACGAACAAAATTTCATCATTTGGACATCTAGAATGTCAAATTTGCATACTTCCCAGAATATCGTGTAGTTTTGACCAGAGCATTATTAGTCAGTAAGAACACATAGAAGAAAAAAAGTTCATGAAAACAAGAGGAAAAAGAAAAAAGAGACAAAAAGAATTTTGTTGTGAAAAAAAAAAAAAAAAAAAAAAAAAAAAAAAAGAGGACAAAGAAGGATATAGAAAAGAGGAGAGAGAGACCATCTACCGGGAGTGAAGCTTGGTTGGTGAGAGAACAAGAGAGAGTCAAAGATGCTACTGTAAGAATCTCAATCTTTTGAACTAAAATATTAGCATAAATATATGGTTGTTTAATATAACATTGTTTTATAAAAAATAACTTTTAAGTAATTATGTAATGATCATCATATTACTTAAGGCTATTAAACAATTTCTCATATTTACACTTTAGCCTAGCTTTCATTCTAAACCTTCTTAAAATCCCCAAATGTCATGCTTAGATAGAAAAATAAACCAAGAATGGGACACTCGTGTCGGACACGTGTCCAAATATTAAAAAATAAAAAAATTCAAACACGTTTTTTGCCATGTACAACACTAATTCTTTGCCTTTTTAGACGTGTCTTGCTTCCTAGTTTAACACCTTTTTATAAGTTGATGAACAAATAAATTTGTGTTAATCTAAGCAAGTATGATTGGGCCTAAATAACATGGAATTAGTCACATCCTCATTGAACGTATAACGAGAGCAAAGAATCCTCAATACTAGCATGCTTGAGTATTATGGTTGGAATCCTCAATACTAGCATGCTTGAGTATCATGGTTGACGGAGGGAAAAAAAAGAAAAAAAAAGAAAAAAAAAAAAAGAGGATCACTGCGTTAGAGATGAATACACATTGTTCGGAGAAGCAATAAGACTGAATCTAACCAAATAAGGTAACAGACTCCAAGAAAAGGAAAAAAATAAGAAAAAGAAAATAAGACCACTGCGTTCGAGTGTAGTTATTGAGCAATTAATTAATATGAATTCCATATATACTTGAACAATCATGTGAACAAAGAAATCTACCAACGTGTAACATATTAAACGAAACGAACATGTAAAACTCTTCGAAAGTAAATATTAAAACAACGTGGGAACAACATAGTGATATATATTATATGCAAAATACTTGAACAATCAGGAGAATAGTGCAAGCTAAACACTATATAAGAGCATTTTTCCTATTACTAGTGATATTGTAATTTGTAATAGCCTTAAAGATCGAAGCAATTACTTGGGAAAATTGAAAGGTTTTAAGCCGAAGTCCAAATGAATCAAAATTTCTTTGAGAATTCAATTACGAGAGCAATAAACCTCACAATTTAGAAATGCAGGTTGTAAAGTAAGATTTATTACCTCCAACACAAATTTACACAAAATAGGACATGCCTCTATCAGGGTAGTACAACCCATAAGGTTTTCGTCATCACTTGCACTAAATCTTAACTCCATTGAGATTATTAAATACAGGAAATTTAGCAAACTCAATATCATCCTGAATATATAAAAAAAAAAAGTAAAGTAAATCGGCAAAGATTGGTAATTATGTTAAAAAAAAGAATAAAACAAAAATGAAGGGAAGGATATAAAATGAATTAGTTAAACTTGCTCACTTCCTCAAGGAAGATCAACTCCAACGTAAGGCTCTCTAACTGAGATAGATAGCTTGAAATCCCTAATAAGTTACAAATTAGATGGTAGCAATAGTCAGCCCCGATATACAGTTCAACAGGGCCTGGATGTTCTTAAATGGTAGGCTTATTTTTGGTCCGAAGTACTTAAATGACATGAGATTCATTGCAAAAATCTCAATACTTTCCACGTTGAAGCAGAAAATTATCTCCAAGCACTTCAATTTTAGTGAAATTCAGGAACATTCAGATTTACGAGACCTTCAGATTCTTCCACAGACAATTGTTCCAAAAATGGATAGTTAGTTAAGAAGTATTTGAGAACTTGTGCAGTTACATTCAAGCGTGTCAGCACAAGATTGGTCAGGGAGTTGCACCAAAGAGACAATGAATGTAGGTGATTTGTAATACTATAATTGTAATCCTCTTCCTCTCTAGTATGGAAGCAACTGGCCGAGAAGTCTAATTCAAGCCTTCTAACTCTCTTTTCCATTGCAAAATTAACCCAATTGTCAATATCAAATTTACAAGTTTCATCAAGATCAAATTGAACTCTAAATTCATTCAAACTTGGACCATTGTAGGATTTCAAGACTTGATTTACCCAACTCAAATACAAAGGTTTTTCTACTTCAAGTTCCTTATCTCCCCGTTTAATTCCATGAAATATATGTAAGGCATCGAAGTTCAAACCAATAATGTACGTCCACAAATACCTCCATCTCTTTGATGACACACTAGTTCTTGCAACTTTTTTCATTGTCAATAATGACAAGATTGAAACAAGGACATCATCCGTAAGTCCACTAATGCGATCCTCCAAACACAACCCACCTTTATCATCCTCCAAACACAACCCACCTTTATCAACCTTCGCACTAATGCAATTAAAGAAAAAATAAATATATAAATAAAAATATTAAGAAAGTCTGATAACAACAAACACAACAGTACTGCTCAATTTCTGTAATCTAATTTCCACGTTTAAACCATAAGATTGCTTTATGTGGAGGTCACAAATTCAAATAGAGGAAACAAGTTGTTTTACTGGTCACAGATAATGTAAGACTACTGACTAGTGTAACACAGGGCTTTTTATTATTTATTTATTTTGTTCATTTAATAAATAATTGACATAACAAAAACAACACATTAATGCTCAATTTGTGTGACATAATTTGTTCATTTAAAAATAAAATAATTATAGACATAAGTAAAAAGATGTGTAAATTCTCACCTTGCGGTGGGTCTCATTGTTTCCTACATGGGATTTGATTTTGCAGTTTTATGCTGAATTGGATTTGTACGAAGCTTTTCGTGTCTTACCTCTGTTGAAAAGTTGAAAGAGAGTGAGAGAGAAAAAAGTATATAAATCTTTTGGCCCTTATTAAATTTCTATTGGTTAGCGTTTAATAATAGATACAAATAAAAATTTTAAGGAAGTTATAATACAAGGAAATTAAAAAAAAAAAATTGGGGCCTTTCTATTAGGCAAAGTTTAATAATAAGAAGGAAATAACATTTTTAGGAAGGTTATAACATAAATTAATTAATTAATTAATTAATTAAAAGTTATAATATAAGGAAATAAAAATTTTGGAGGCCTTTGTATTGGTTGGGGTCTAATAATAGAAAGGAAATAAAATTTTTAAAAAGGATATAATATATAAAAAATAAAAAATTGAGGCCTAATACTATCAAATTCTATTAAATTTTTATCCTTTGGATTAATAATTCCATATACACTCTAAATTATAAAAAAATTGCTTACATTTGTTTCAGGGAGTAATGTGCAAGCTTCTTATAATTCAGGAAGGTTTTGTACATTAAGACTTTAAAGAAATCTTAGTAATTTAGAAAACACACGAGGGTAATGTGCAAAATTTTATAGTTTAGAGGAGGTTTGTGCAATTAATGTCGGGTTTGATTTTGCTGAGAAATGTAGAATGTAATATTTCAAAATGAGTAAACGTGTGCTTATAATTGTGTTGTTTATGATTTTATATTTCCATTTTTAAATAATATGAAAGTAAGTATTACTTGTATTTTCTTGATGTTGCAACACAAAAGGATGATTTCTGCACCTTACTTTTGTGCTAATACATTTTACCTAATTTCTTTAGACAAACATTTATATATATATATATATATATATATAATCCACCACCTCCCAAATGGTACTAGACAATTATTAGAAATTTCTTAAAACATAAGAATTTTTTTATGAATATTGTAAAGTTTGATGGTGGTTTTAAAGACCATTGTGTCATTCTTTTTTTTAGAAAATAGAAATCACTTGTAAAAATAAAGAAAGTCATCATCTATCATCCTTGTTTTTATTCCATATGAGCGGGATCAACCACATAAATACTTTTTTTATTTTTATTTTTTATTATATACTAAGTCTTCTATAGATTTAATTTTTTAAGACCCTTTTTTTCTTTTAATGTTTTAATTTTTTTATTTTCTTCATCCCATGTAAATTTAGGTTAACCCCTTTGTCATTTTCATTCCAAACAAGTAATTCTTCCTCTTCTAACCCATGCATATATTTCTCAAGTATTCTAATTACTCGTATAGTCCAATATAGCATCATCATTTTTGCAACATGAATGCATTGTTCTTGTGCCTTTTTGAATGCTCAAATACTCTACTCCATATGATAACTTCTTCTTTTAATTTATTTGATATTTGTTTACGAGCTTGTCTCATTTTGTGCTTGATTTTCTAACTCTACAAGTCTATTATTTGACTATAAAGTGCGTGTGCTTATAATTTGATGTTTGAGACCATTGTTTCCATAAAAGACCCGTCTTTTGAGTTGTGAACATGTAAATGCGCATTTACTAAAGGTGGTGATGGTGGAAGGATAATTATAATTTCTCACTTTTCAATATAAAAAGGGGATAAAATCATAAAGCATCCCTCTACTATTAAAAATATACATATAATTCTAACTGAATCAAATAACAAAACTTATATCCCTTTTTTTTTTTTTTTTTTTTTGTTATGAAATAACAAAATTGAAATGTTAAATTAAAATATTGATAATTATTATTTAAAAATAATAAATTTAACCTCCATGGAGTCGTCCATTCCAATTGAAAGTAAAAACTCACTAAATTAAAAAACATGTTTATTCTAATTGGAATGGACGAAGGTTAAATTTATAATTTTAAAATAACTATTTAATATTAAATAGTAAAATCAATTTTTTTATTATTTTTTATTAATTTTACAACCCAATTAACATGAATATAGATAACATGATATGTTTTTGTTAATTTTGAGTTTATTATGGTGATTCTAGTGGGGTTATATGTATATTTTTAATAGTATTTGAGACTTTTATGATTTTACCCGTAAAGAGATGTCTGATTTAAGGGTTTTAAGTATTTGTTGGCGGCATATGAATGTGTGAGTTTATGACCATGATATAATAATAATAAAAATAATTGTAAAAAAAAAAAAAAAAAACCTGTGGGATTTGCATTTCATGAGATATTTGTGTGATTTATTTACAACTGAGCTTAGAATAGGAAATGTGATGAGCTTGAGATTTCTCTAGACTTCTATGGGTGGTGATATGTTGTTAATAGCTCCTGTAGTTGGTGACCCAACCAACTTAGTCTGAAACACGTGTGCATGTCTTACATAATAGAAAAAAAAAGAAGAAGAAAGAAAAAGAAAAAGAAAAAAGAAATTGGCACGGAGACATAAATGATAAAAAATGAGTATAGAAAAATGTCATCATCAATTATGGTAGTTGTCTTGATGGTATTATGATTACTATCCCTCACGTAAATGTGATAAAACTGCATATGTGATATTAATTGCACCAGTCTCCTTCTCTACCCACATTATTGGGTCATGGTTTTGTATTAGTGGGAGTCTTTTAAAGGATTAGGAAGTTTGGTTCGAAAGTCCTCGGCAGCTCGGCACGCCTTTTTTTTTTTTTTTTTTTTCATTGGTCTCCTTAGACTCCCATGGAGTTCCCTATCAGAAGCGGATCAGGAGTTTCAAAAGTAATATTCTCAAACATGACAACACTCTTGATTAAATACTGCTCTAACATTATTTGTACGCGCAACCCACCCAATAAATTCCACCACCTTAAGGTGCTGATGGGGCCGAGATGTAACCTTTTATTGCTTTGTTCTCCGAGAGCTCGCACCATTGCAGTTGTAACAAGGAGGAATGAAGTCATACCGTGCTTTATACGTTTAGGTAGACCATTAGCACACAAAACCAAATTACCAAGCATCAAATAACATAATTGTTTAGGGCAAATTAGAATCATGACATTGCTACACGTAATCAAATAGCCAAATCGAAACATTTCCACATGCTCCATGGAGATTGAACACCGTGTTACACACATGACTCAAAAAGATCAATTGTAATTGGGATAGATCTAGGTTGCACTATGCATACAAAGTCATTGGTATGTCCAACCAATTAAAATGCACAATTCAAACTAGTTGGTGGCACTTTTTATAAATTGGAGGGACCAATTACCTTGAATTGTGCCCCGCGCAACAAATGATTGGATGTGTTTTTTAGTTATAGATATTATTTCTTTTTTTTATGCTTTTCAAATTAAATTTTACAATGCTCCCAATTTTCCGAGATAAATTATTATAACAAGCTCTTTTGTTATGTTATTTTCTGTGTAAATTAATAAAATCATATGACTATGTTTTGTATTATAGTTTGAAGTAACTTCATCAAATAACTATGTTGTGTTTGCCACAATTCTTTGTTTAGATCTCCTCCTGATTTTGGATATTGATAACTTCTTTGTTCTGAATAGAGGAGAAAATTAAAAGAAAGAATAAAGCTTCAGTTGAGGTTTTAAGTAGTGAAAGATATTGCCTTCGGACTTATCTTTTTGATTGTCTAATATCAAGCATGGTTTTCGAATTGTATAATGGGCATGGGCGTAGAGTTGGATCTAGCTTGAGAAAAGATCATCTTACGTCACAATTGTAAGGTTTGTTGTAAGACGATTTTTGAAGGAAAGACGAGTGAGACTATTTGACAAAAAAATCTTAGAGCTGAGACTATGATGGGTTGTGGTGCTTGGATGAGCATTAAACTAAACAAAACTAACGGAAACTTCCACCCCTCTGCTCTTGGAGAATTTTTATTTTTGCTTAACAGAGACCACTCTGGTAAGCAATCAAGATTTTCTTTTTTATTTCTTGCATTTGCAATGAGACATACCATTTCTTCGTGAGTTTCTGGCTCTACAACTCTCTCTAGGGTTATAATTTGATCTTTGAGAGTAGTTTGATTCTTCGAGAATTTCGCACCTGCGCAAAGAAGAACTTAAGCAATGTGAGACCTCTCATTGTTTCTATAAAATGGGCTTGTCTTTTGAGTTGTGAACTTGTAAATGCGATTTTACTAAAGCTGGTTATAGAAGGATTTTTATAATTTCTCACTTTTCAATATAAAGAAAATTTAAATTTGTGAAAACAGATATCCGATTATGAGTTTGAATTTGCACTGTGGGATTTGATGAATTTGAGATTTCTATAAACTTCTATTGGTGGTGATCTGTTTGTTAATGCCTGAAGTCTTGTTAACTTTGAGATTTCTATGGACTTTCTATTGGCGTGGTGATCTGTTAATGGTCGAAAATACTCGTAATAAGAAAGAAAAGAATGTCCAAAAATCAAACACATCCTGACTCTCTCTCTCTCTTTTTAATGAATGGAGAATGATGTAATCATGACATCATCCACACGATGAGTTATTATCCTAGTCGAATATGTCGGAGTTTCAAATGCTCTGTCACATCTTAAAAGAAAAAAGAAAAAGGCTTGGTAGTCAGTGCTGCAAAATTAAGCCGAAAATAAAGAAAAACATATCAAAACACACATATTTTTTTTGGAAAAGTTAACGTTACGTTCAAGGATTGCAGGTTTTCACTGATAAAAAAAATCGGCACCAATGCATATAATTCAGAATGAGACAACATAACAAGTACAAAAGTTACTAAAATACCCTTCAACATATCAACGGAGTTGGAATTTGATAATACAGCTTCTATCAAGCTCCAAGCTACTCATCAACGAGACACCTTGAGAAAAAGACTTGGTAATGGGTATGAGTTTAACTACTATAATACTATGATGATTACTAGTAATAATATATAGTGGTATAATTTAATTACTATAATAATAAACATCATTATCAATATAATAAATAATTATATTAAATATTATTTGTGTTTTATTAAAATATCC